TCTAACGCCTGGTGATCTGAGGTGGAACACTTTCATCCTGAAACTATCCCCCCCAACAACATCCATGGAAAAATTGCCTTCCGTGTTGCTTATGCAACAAAACCAGTTACTTGTGCCAAAGAAGTTGGGGACCACTGCACTAGGGAATAACAACAACAACAAAAATCCTGGAACACAGATTGCAAGGGACAGTCTTGCTCTCATTTAACTCGAGGACTGATGGCTTTGATCAGCATCCTTAGACTCAGTATCTGAGATGTCTTTTTAAAACTCTGTGATTCTGACCTCACCCCTGCTTTCCCACCTTCCTTTCCATCTCACCCTTACCTCCCTCCCTGCTCCTGCCAACCTAACTCAGTCTGAGCGGTAGGCCTTAGGTAGCTGCTGTGGGCCTAAAGCTGCTGTTCTGGGTGCCCCAAACTTTGAGACATCCTGGTCTAGACAGAGTATTTTCTATTCTCATAATCATGATTCAGTACAATTGCTGCTGCTTTTTTGTAGGTTTTTTCCCATGCTTGGCATCTAGCAGGCACTCAGCGAGTATGTTTATCTATTTGACAAGTCCCTAAACAAACCTCTCCAATAGCCTCTATGTTTGCTGAGTGAATTCCACATTCTGTGATCCTTGCTATCTTCCTACCTTTTTTTTTTTGAGACAGGGTCTTGCTCTGTCACCTAGGCTGGAGTGCAGTGGTGCCATCACACTTCACTGCAACCTAGACCTCCCGGGCTCCAGCAATCCTCCCACCTAAACCTCTCACCAGCTGGGACTACAGGCATGTGCCACCAAGCAAGGCTAATTTTTTCTTTTATTTTTGGTAGAGACAGGGTTTTCCATGTTGCCCAGGCTTGTCTCAAACACCCGGGCTCAAGTGATCCACCCACCTTGGCCTTCCAAAGTACTAGGATTACAGGCATTAGCCATGCCCAGCCCTAATAATCCTACTGTTAATTGAATTTTACTAAAAGCCATTGATTATTGGCCAAATATGTCACTCATTTTCCTTTACAAATCCTCTGGCTTCATTTGTAGCTGATGGATTTTAGAAGCAAACAGGCTTACAGAATCATGAAAGGGAGGTCATGCTCAACAATTGTTAAAATTTACACACACACACACAGAGAGAGAGAGAGAGAGAGAGAGAAAGAGAGAGAGAGATTGTGCCCTTTTGGGTTTTTCTATATTCTATCCTTAGATCCAGAGACCAAAATATAAAATGCTGGCACTTGGCAATCCCCACGATCAGCCATTCACCTCCCTCTTTGGCATCCCTCTGTCTACCAGATGCCACTTCTTTCTGCCCAGCTGAAACACATGTTGATAAAAGTGGCTCCCATACCCTACTGCCAGGGCCAGCCTCCCCCTTGGGTCATGGCAGAATCAGTTTTCACTGCAGAAGATGGGTATAGACCAACCTGAAGAGTCTTCTATATTGGTGATAAGTTTACTGCACTTGTCTTTCAGATTGATGTAAGAAATATGTCAATGATGTAAAGTCAATAGAGCTTGAGAACCCTCTCTGGTTACTTCTACTGGGTGATAGCTAAGAGAAGCCTGCAAATGTCTAGGCACTAGTGTGAGATCCATTTAATGTGGTTAGCAAAGTTGACAGTTTGCACAGTTTAAATCCCATCCAGTGAAAGCCCAAGCCCTATCAAATAACAGTTGAGAAGAAAAATGCGAGAGAGAGGAGAGGGAGGGGTAATTTTAAAGCCAGAATTACCAAACAGTCCCATTTGTATGCAGGCGAATTTATGTTTCCATGAGAATCTGCCAGGCTGCTCTAGCAGTTTTAGCAATGCATTGCTCTACCCATGTTTATCAAATATTTAAACACCCCATTTTTATTGAGCCATAATGTCTGCTGACTATGTAAGCAAAAGAAGAAGGATGAATTTTCTTTTTCACAGCAAGATTACAATGGCAACTCTTTGTTCATAATCTGTTCCCATTTATAGAATAAAGTCACATTTGGATTATCTAATTTGCCAGATATAAATAAATAAATCATTCTCTGTCTCCCATAAATACATATTATCTAGGTCCAAATCAATTGATTGATCTATCACAACATTAATTGATCAACGTAGCATCTGTCTGTCCATTTATTCATCTGAGAGAGAAGCAGATGACATTTAATTAGTTCCATAATGGAATAACACTTTTCCTTCAATTAGCACATCCAGGAATGTGATAAGAAGGTTCTATTTCTTGAAAGCAAGTAATATTTATTATTTCATTGCACTGGCTCTAACAAATCAGTTTAGAGACTGAATAGCTCAAATTTAAAATGAGTATCATTGGTCAGAAATATCCATTTTGAGTTTGGTGCCTAGATTATAGTCTGTAAATCTCCATAGCAAATGATTGCAGCTCCAGTAAACTACACCAATGTCCAAACCACCTTGCTCATTATGATGGACCGTAATCAGTGAACTCATAAAACGATTGGAGCTGAAATCATATTTTGCACTCACAGCAGCAATGCAATAACAAATAAGCCATAGAGATGAATATACATATTCATTTTTCCTCCCTACACAAACACACTAACCTCACTTTCTCAGTTTCTAGCTGTGTAAGAGTCAACACAGTGATGCTCCAAAATACAGTGACAAATCATGTTTGATGAAGGGGACTGCCTCTGCTGTAGGGCTCTACATTCACTGGGGATCAGTGGATGGTTTGTGAAGGTCTCTCTCTAAAAAGTCAGAATCATAATTCCAAGTCCAGAGGCCAGGAATTTGTTTTCATAGTGTCAAAACCACATTTTAAAGAGGTAATGTGTATTCTGGTATTTTGTGCTGGGTTGGTGTTCTGCTTGTTACAGAGACTACTGAGGTTTTACAACGCAGAGTTTAGGTCAAGAATGAAAAGTTTTGAAGATTTACATTTTTCTCCAGCATTGACCTTTTGGCTTTATTCCTTAATTAAGCAAAGACGTGGCAGCAAAAGGGAGTATTATGGGCCTGCTGTATCCCCAGGGCGTTATGAGACACCAGACAGAGTTAAGCTATCTCAAGACAACCATGTTCTCTGGAGTTACTTTATTGCTATTATAAAAAACCTTTATTATGGGAAAAAAATATGTATTTTTATGCCAGAAGAAGATGAAGATGACAGTTAAGCTGTTGAAAGGTAGTTTCAGTTGAGCTTTGTGCCCACTGAGATTGTAAAACACCCAAGACTAGGGGAGGTGCCCTGATGGAATCTTAAGAAATCTAAAGGGGTATATTAATCTTTGTGAAATTCATAGTTGGAACAGGGTACCATTAACTGGCACTTTCCAGTTATCAAGATATTTTATGAAACTGAAAAAGTCCTATTATACCCGCTAACAGGGCCAACTTTGGGGGTGTGCCTAATAAAATCATCTCTTTCCAGATTGTCTTGACTGTAAGAACCTTGAGATTCTGAATCCCCAGTGATGGCTGCTGCTTTTATTACAGGCTGCTTAGCAGGGCACTTCTGCAGAAGGTTTTGTGTGAGTTTGCTTTTCTTTGACCAAGGTGGGGAAAACTTTAATTGAAGGCTTTTTAATTGCTGCATTTTTCTTTTCCATTGAGAATCTGGCACTTTTCGATTATATCTGCATTGTTTTTAAAGCAAATAAACTGCCCGATCCACACTGAACAAGAGTCACCTTGACTTAAACCACTCACACATCTTTCCATTGATGTTTGCCAAAGTAAGACTTCTTTTTAAAAGGATATTTAACTACTTAAACCTTTCATCATGAGGCTGCTTTGCTACCAAGAAAATTTATATACCTGCTCATCTATTAATCGTTGTGTTTATTACTTATATATCTGTCCCACTAAATTCCAGAGAAATTTTGAAGTGGCTCTTGGATTTATCTTCCCTTGGCTTTTACTAATGAATCTTCTAGGAACTACCTCCTGAACTCTACCTGTCTCTTATGTGTATGTAGCCTAGGAACAAGTAATAGAATTATGTCCCTTCTACCCAAGGTAGGAAGAGATGAATTGGGATCTTTAATCCACACTTTGCATTCTGACCAGGGGAAATTCAGCTATCATGAGCAGGGGATTGGCCAAGCACAGTGGCTCATGCCTGTAATCCCAACACTTTTGGAGGCAGGAGCAGGTGCATCTCTTGAGGCCAGGAGTTCAAGACCAGCCTGGCCAACATGTTGAAACCCCTGTCTCTACTAAAAAATACAAAAATTAGCCAGGTGTGTTGTTGTGTGACTGGAGTCCCAGCTGCTCGAGAAGCTGAGGCATAAGAATCACTTGAACCTGTGAGGTGGAGGTTGCAGTGAGCCGAGATTGTGCCACTTTACTCCAGCCTGGGCTACAGAATGAGACTCTTGGCTCAAAAAAAAAAAAAAAAAAAAAAAGCAGCAGGGAATCATTGAATTATTAGCATCTTTTTGTTGGCAAAAGAGTAGCAGTCTCACCTGCTATATTCCAAGTTAAGAGGAAGCCAAGGACCCATGTTCAAAAGGGGTAGTTCACAGAACAGATTTGCCAGAAGGCAAGACCCTTGTTTCTCCATTTGTGAGGTAGCACCTTTAGAGCCAGCCGTATGATCAGTGAGTCACTGAGTGACAGTCCTCACTATCCAAGCCAACCATTTGGCCTCCTTCATGAGAATCGAATTCTACCAAGAAGCAAAAGCCAAAACAAAAAAAAATGCAGGAACAAAAAACCCTGTGTTTCTATGTAAAGAAAGACAGAGGTGAATTTTTAAATAAATTGCTATTTTCCTGTCACATTGCTAAGCAAATGTCACATGAGGAAGTCTATAGCACTGGTCTCGCTGCAGTCAGCCACCTCAGAATCAGGAGCTCCAAGCGGCCTCCCATCCATCCTCTTTCTGCTGCCCCTCAGGAGCTCCACAGGGCAAATGTGTGGTGAACACACATTAATGTGTGCTGAAAATCTCTCAACTCAAGCTTATGACCCACTTTTTAGCTATTTTTTTTTTCAGTATAATGAAACTGGCATCCAGTCATTTGGAAAAGTCCCTTAAGTCATAATGGGACTTCACTTGTTGATCCCCACAGGTGATTTGTGCAGAGCCTATTTTGCGAATTGCACAGTGAAGGAGCAGCAAGATAGACAAGATGAGACACTGTCTTTGCTACTGTCAGGAACACCATGGTGTCAGGGAAGAGGAACACGTTCCTTTCGCCCTATCACTCACTGAGATGTGAACCAGCAAGAGAAGTTCCAGCTGGACCTAGAGAGAAATGGAGCTGGAGGGGATTTGGGTGTGGGGCAGCGTGGAGTGGACCTGTAACTGAGAGGAATCCTGGTGGCTAATTTTACTCTCTGCAGACTTCGATATTCAGAGTCCTTTCCTTATGGTGGAAAACATGTCCTGGCTTCCAGCTTCCTATTGAGAATCCCATTTTAGTTTTCCGTTTTATTATATTCTTGTTTTGGATAGAATTTGTTTTGTAGTATAAGTTTGTTGGGTCCATCCTAGAGAAAGCTGCTCAGATTGTACGTATTGTAATTCAAACCATTCAGCCCACAGCTCCATGTTCCTTTCCAAATACCAGGTGGCATCCAGTTGGTCCTATGAGCTGCTCCAAATAAGAGATCTCTCTTTCTGTTATGAAAGTAATCTCAGGAGATTGATGCCACTGAATGTCCCCGGCATAGCTGTCAAGTATGTAGATTCAAAACTTCACCATTTTAAAAATAAATTTTCAGAGCTTATTGAGTTATTTGTATGTTTCTTCTCTTCAGAAATGCTGTGCACTCTTCCTGCCATGCTCTTTTATTTTGAAGACCCCAATGCAGACCACCTAGGAGTCAGGGGAAAAGCCTTCCCATAATGAACTAGTGTGAGCAATGCAGGGAAAATATGGTGCAGAACTGACCAAAAAGTAAGTTCTAGTTTTCTTACTTTTAAAGGATTATATCAAGCAGGTCTAAAATAATGGAAAGTATCTGGTCTCTCTGTGTGTGGTAGCAGAAAGGTGACTGCCACCAATGAGACAAAGTTATACAGACTAGGTATATTGTGAAACACTTGAAAAGCTATGTACATAACAAGGTTAGAGTACTTGGCCCTTAGGAACAAAACACAACTCATATATTGGTGCTGGGATTCCAGGTTTGAATGGAAACAGGCAAGAAATCCTAAGTCAAACACATGGTCCAACTATTCTTTCTTGTTATTATCACCAGCATTTTCTGATTCCTGGTTTTTATTGTTGTTGTTGTTGCTTGTTTGTAATGCTACCAAGAAGTAGAAGAGTAAAATTTGAGCAAGGTAGGTGATGATTAGCATCTGCCAGGGAGACTTCTGGGTAATTGATTATTCAGTAAGAATTACCTAAAGACAGAATTGGACCATTATGAGAAGGTAATACAGAATTGATGTCCATATACACACACATACACACACATAAACCCCATCGAATCCAGTTCCCCATCTTTTGCCCAACTCATGAAAATTCCAAAGAGCTGTATTCAATCAAATTGTTGACTTTGGGGTCCCAGACAAATCCCATTGTAGGTGATGCTATTTCACCTAATTAAGCCCCATGGGTGAGTAGATTCAGTAAAGAAGAAATTCCAAGTCATTGCCCTTGGCAAAGTGATTGTTATTGAAGGATTCTGAGTGTTCCAAATTCCGCTAGTCATGAAGTGACTCAAAAAAGGAAACATTCTCCTTTCCACTTGCAATTTGTTCATTTTGTAGTGAGCAAGCGCCAAAGGCCTTCACTCCCTCCCTTCCTCCCTTCTTTTCGAGGTTTTTGCCTGAGAACCCAGAACTTAATCATGTAGCAATTTTACATAAAAGCTATGTCTACGTCTGAAATTACAACAGGATTAGGTCACAGGTGGCCGCGGTGGCTCACCCCTATAATCCCAGCACTTTGAGAGGCCGAAGTGGGCAGATCACTTGGCCAACATGGTGAAACCTGTCTCTACTAAAGCTACAAAAAACTTAGCCAGGCCAATGCCTGTAGTCCCAGCTACTCGGGAGGCTGAGGCAGGAGAATCACTTGAACCCAGGAGGTGGAGGTTGCAGTGAGCCAGGATGGTGCCACTGCACTCCAGCCTGGGCAACAGAGCAAAATCCTAAAATAAAATTAAATTAAAAATAAAAAAACACAACGTTGTTAGTTTACATAATTCTAACTAGTTTCTGATCCAAAATGTTAGCTTGTGAGCCACTATTTTGTGTTGCTGTTCTTTGTATTCGTTAGTGTATTAGCACTTGAATCCAATACTTAAAATAATAAAAATAATAATCACAGCAATCTTGTACCTGGTGTTGTTGCAGTGTCATTAGAATTCTGTTGTGATGTTTACCTCTCATTTTTCCTTAAGAAACTGGGTTACTTCCTCCTTTCCGAGACCCGCCGGGAAGTCAGAAAGCCAGCGCTGGAGATAACGTGGCAATGCATTTTAAGAAGAATCAGTTCCTAAGAAGTGGGGAGAAAATATATTATCGGACTTTGCAGACGTAAACACGCCCCAGCAGGCTGGAGCCTGCGAGGAGTAAGGTTTCCCTGATCGCGGGTCCCCCTCCAGCCCGCCCCCAGCGCTGGCGTCCATTGCACGACGCCCTGTGGCCGCCGCTCCCAGGGGAGCCGGGCCCTCGCGCTCCCTCCAGGATGGGACAGGATATGACAGCCCGGTTTGTGCACCAGCATCCTTAATATTTCCTTCCTTTCAGAAGCAAATAGAGCGTTCCCTTATCTGAATGCTAATTTCCTAGTTAAAAACCCTCCCTTGCTGACAAGGGACTGAAAGAGTTTTAAATCACAGATGTAGAGTATCAAATGCAATAATGCTCTTGCAATAGTGCATTGAAGCCTCAATTAATTAACCCTTGGGCTAAGTAGGCAGGTACATGGCGGTGGCCACAGGCGGTGGATGGATGAGATTTAAATGTGCATCTCATTTCCCCAGCACGGAGCATGCCGTTTGGTTCAGAAAGGAGTCATTTTGCGCACTCGCCTCATTTACTCGCTGCTTTAATCCTCCTAATTCCACCTGAGATCAGCGGAGAATTGAAAAGGAAGGCGAGGAGCAGGGGCTGCCGGCCGGGCTTTTGTTGCGCGCGGTCCCCGGGGGCCGGGCCGCGCAGGGGCTCTCGCCTTCCGAGAGGGCGTCGCGGGAAACCTGCGCGGCGAGAGGCAGGGGGATGGGGCGCTTTCGACGCGATTACGGGGTGCGGGCGTCCCCAGGCCAGGCTGCGGCCTGCGCTGGGCGTCGAAAGCGAGGCCGCAGCGCCCCAACGCCAAGTGGGCGTGTGGGTGGAGTGGAGACTTGAGTCCCGCGGCGCTTGGGAGTCCCGCCGCCTGGGGTCAGGAACCGCCTCCCACTCCGGCCCGGCCCGGCCCGGCCCGTCGCAGCCCAGGAGCCGTGTCCCGCGCTGACTCGGTGTAACTCTCCAGCTCATTTCTCTCCACGCGATTTACCATCTGTGAACTCGTCTTTAACCTAATAAAAATCATCTAGCTTTTGACTAACAAGAAAAGGAAACAGTGCTCATTGTGGGGTTTGGGGAAAATGGCTTCACTAATGTGCAGGATGAGAACGGAGTGATTTATAGGTGGTTTTAACTGTAGGCTATGATTAGGGGGCTGGTAGTAAGTGCATTAGATGTCTAAGTGTGGCAATAGAGTAAATAGGCGTTTTATTTATCGCAGTGCCAGGGGCCTCTTAGCGGAAGAGCGCTTCTCCAAATTGAAATATAGCAGAGTTTACACTCCTGATTAGGGCTTCAAGCGCAGAGCCCAAGGCTATCAGCTAAGCAGAAACAACGCTTGCTGACACCTAATTGTCACTGGATTAATGTGCAAACAGGGACAGCGAACAGCAACAACAAATAACCTAGTGTCAGAGCTGTTGGTGGCAGTGTCCACTCTCAGTGACTTCGGGCCAAATTGGAGTTTATATGTCAAAACAGGCTCAGATCAATGTGTTGGGCTCCTCCTGCAAAGGGCTGGATGGAGTCGTGGCAGTTGTTGATCTATGTGTGTGTGTGGGCATATTATATGCCGGAGAGTGGAGGGGAGCAGGCAGACGGAGGAGGTGAAATGCCTTTCCATTAATTTTTTTTCTGCTTTATGCTTCCGAATTCACAGCTATTAAGATAAATTTATGTGAATCAGGTCTTTATCTCCAGGATCTTGTGACTTTCGCCTGTGTCTCCATATAAAATTTAATAACCTTGTTTGTGAATCAAATCATTCCCACAACAACAGATTCAATCTGGGTTGCCACCTGTCTGGCTTTGGACGGAAGCAACCGAATTGGGCAGCTGGGTTCCAGCCCTTCACAGGGGCTGGTGGTTGGTTGGCTGCCTGGCAGGTCAGTTTGCCCTGGGGTTTTCCAAAAGCAGGAGTAGATGCGGCTGACATCTGAAGGGGAAAAGGAGGACAGCCATCCATATTCCCAAGACCCCCCTTTACTTCGAATGACCAAACTGGTGGCAGCCCTATTTAAAAAACACAAGAATTCATGAGAGTCTAAAGCAAATGGGGGAATAGGTTACCATCCAAGAAGTTCTTACGTTCACTCATTTTTCTTCTACAATTAGCCATTTAGGGAGGGAAAAAGTCACAAATACATGAATTATGTTCCTAAATGCATTTCTAAAGTTCTTAAGTTTTATTGAGCATGAAAGTTGGTCTTTCCCTGTGTTAAGGACTGAAGAAGCTATAGAACTAGCTAGTAGCTCAATGGTGCAAAGTCTTATGATTTAAACTTGACATTTGCAATTTTTTGCTGTAAAATATTACTTTCTTTATTTCAGGACTTTAGTTGAAAACCTCGTAATTCCCTTTAAGCTCCATTTGATTGTCAATTGCACAACTCTCTCTAAAGCTTAGGGCTCATGATTTTCATACACACATGATTTATGCTTTTTGTGTCACAATATAATGTACTTTGGTACAGCTCCCACTTATTTCTCTTGCATCATGAGAAATTTTCCTTTTAGAGGCTGGGAGTTTTATGGTGAAGCTATGAACGAGTTGTGATCTGGCTGTAGGTCTCCTTGAATTGTCCAAAATTGCCATTTTTGCTGCCTGATACAATCTTTTGTGCCACTTCATTTAATATGTTTTCAGAAAATGGTGACCTGGATATCTGCATATCTGGATAACAGAATGAAATTAATTTCACTATTGAAAATTTCAATAGCAGGCCACAGAAAGATCATTCGTTGCCTCAAGTATGGGCAGAGAGATAGCAGAGCGAGAGTTCTGGATGTGGCAAACACAGATTTCCTTTAGTCCATTTGTTGTCAGTAAATCATAAAGCTGGATTTGCAATGGCGAAATCTCAAATATGTTTTACTGGATCGATTCAATGCATTTTAGTTGTAAAACTCTTAAGGTCATCCAAGCTGCTGATTAGAGCATAACATTAATGCTGTACATTAACAATAATACTTAAAAACAAAAATGCCTCAAAGAGATATTAAGCTTTCTGAAAAACTGTATATTGTTATGGCAAATATTGGAATTCATGTGGGAATTTTGTTGATTCTAATTATTATACTTTGTAGATTTTACGTTGTTGTCTCCTAGAACTGGAAGAAAATTTAGAGATGATCATACTGTCTTTACAGCCCTATGTGCAAATGAAGAAACTAAGGCCCAGAACAGTTAAATGTTTTGCTTAAAGCCGCACACATACAATGAAAATTTCCAAGTATTCCTCCTATTTGTCATTATTCCAGTCAAGCCATAAGCATTGTTAAGTATATCAGGAAAACATCAAATGTTTTTGTCATACTCGTCAATGTTAATTATTCAGGCATTTATAAACATTAACATTTTTCTGGCACAAAAATATTTTCAAATACTTGATTTAAGAAATAATTTAAATTGGGTGTTATTCCTTGATTACTTATCTAAAAATTGTGAAACAATCACAAATGTGAAGGAGTTCTCAGTATTTGAAAGTGTTGTGTGTCTTGGTTATTTGAGGTTGGGGTTATATTGTTTCTTTTCTAGTTTTCTGCTTCTTTTGTCTCCCACTTTTTCTGCTGTTTTAGCTTTTTACCTTCTCCTCCCAGCTCTGCAAGGAGAAAACTAAGACTCAAAGAAGCTGATTTTATCATTGCTGATAAAAATTTCATGAAGAAAATAGGACAGAGATAGTAGATAGAGTGGAGTTTGATTATCATTCTTCTCCCTGGCTCTCCCTGGCGGGAGTATGATGGTTAAGCAAGAAACAATCTACCCTGTAGAAGAAAAGGTAATATTTGGTAGGTTTTAGAAATAATTCTGCTGGAAAGTTGCAGATTTCTTTGTGTATGAATCACTGTTGTAATTCCTAGCATTGCCTTTGGGGCATAAACTTCAGAATGTGTCTGAATTATTAAGCATCGACCCTGTTGGTGTAGCTAGGTGTTTAAGAGAAGTAAACAAATTAAATTATGTGAACCAAGAAACAATTAACCCCCTCCCCTGCCCAAGTTGAGGTGTGTCTGTTTAAATCTAGATCTCATCTGAAATGTCTGGTAATGTGGTCAGACTCTGGGTAGCATTTGGTAGCTCTGGGAAGTATAGTCACTCTAGTGAAACTGCTGAAATCTAAGCTGAGGACATCATTGGCTGTAAACCTAGAGTCTCAGCTACAGTGTACACTGACCAGATCCACTCACCTTTTCTCGGCTCCACCCTGAGTTTTTGAGAATATTATAACCAGACGTTATCAAGAAAAAACAGTACTAGGTCTGTAACTGGGCATTTTTGTATAATAAACGGTTTCAACTCAATTCTGATTTCATAGACTGAAATGATTGTAAAGAACTCAAAGGAAGAAAGAGAAGCTACTCAGGAATTACTTCCATGAAGGGAACATCATTTGTCCTGGGTGAACAATTCGAGAAGCGTTTGACAGCAGCTAAAGCCATTTCCAGGAGAATAACCAGGTGTTGAAGGGAAAAGACTGCTGATGTGGAACAGGTGGGACGCATGGTTATGGCTGGTGGACTTGAGCAAGTCATTGTCAAACAGCCATGAAGTAGTTTCCTAACCTACAACCAAGGGACTGGGCACAGAATTTCTTAAGGTAAGGTCCACTAGCCATTATATCAGCATCTAACAAGCCCTTCCAAGGAATTCTAATGCACTCCAGGGTTTACAACACTTGGATCAAAGAACATATGCATTTTCTTGCAAATATGAGATTTTTAATCATTTACACTTTAGCAATTTAAACTCTATTATGGTTTGTTGAAAAGACTTAAAGAGACACTGATAACTGATTTAAAATATTCCTTCAGCCGGGCGCGGTGGCTCACGCCTGTAATCCCAGCACTTTGGGAGGCTGAGGCAGGTGGGCCACGAGGTCAAGAGATTGAGACCATCCTGGTCAACATAGTGAAACCTCGTCTCTATTAAAAATACAAAAAATTAGCTGGGCGTGGTGGCGTGTGCCTGTAGTCCCAGCTACTCAGGAGGCTGAGGCAGGAGAATTGCCTGAACCCAGGAGGCAGAGGTTGCGGTGAGCCGAGATAGTGCTATTGCACTCCAGCCTGGGTAACAAGCGTGAAAGTCCGTCTCAAAAAAAAAAAATAATAATAATAATAATAATAATAAATAAAAACTAAAATATTCCTTCATGCCACAGGAAGACTTCATTAGACAAAAGCTTGGAGAACTTTCTTCTTAGATTACACATAACTCAGGGAGAACTGCAATAGTTTTACCTATTTGTTTGTTTTTTGAGACAAAGTCTTGCTCTCTCAACCAGGCGGGAGTGCAGTGGAACTATTGGCTCACTGCAACCTCCAGCACCTAGGTTCAAGCGATTCTCCTGCCTTAGCCTCCTGAGTAGCTGGGGTTTAGTAGAGATGGGATTTCATTATGTTGGTCAGGCTGGTCTCAAACTCCTGACCTCAGGTGATCCACCTGCCTTGGTCTCCCAAAGTGCCAGGATTATATGCAGAAGCCACTGTGCCCAGCCCCTATTTGCTTTTTAAAGTTCTAACTTAAAAAACAAAAACAAAACAAAACAAAAAAAACTCACAATACTTTTCTGTAGTTAACAAAAACATTGTTTGTGGATTAAGAACACTGGGGATAGCCTCTTCCTAATTTTCTCAACTAGTTAAATTACTATGTTGTGCCTTTGAGAAGTAGCATGATTTCATGTACATAGTAATGCAATTTTATATATTTTTTGCATTTTGACTTTTGAAATGAAATGAAAACCAAAAATAATCCAAATTAATATTCCTTAGGATTGTGCAAGAAGCCCAGTTCTTTAACATCATAAAATGATATGCATCTACCTATATTCCTATATTTAAACATAATAAAAGGCAGACAAGTTATACTGAATCTCAAACATGCTGCTATCGTTGGGCTCTGTGTCCCCACTCAAATCTCATCTCAAATTGAGATCCCCAGGTGTCAAGGGAAGGACCTGGTAGGAGGTGATTGGATCTTGGGGGTGGTTTCCCCCATGTTGTTCTGATGATAGTGAGGGAGTTCTCATGAGATCTGATGGTTTTAAAAGTGACAGTTTCCCCTGCATGGTCTCTCTCTTCTGCCGCCTTATGAAAAAGGTGCCTGCTTCCCCTTTGCCTTCTATCATGATTGTAAGTTTCCTGAGGCCTTCCCAGCCATGGTTCCTATACAGCCTGTGGAACTGTGAGCCAGTTTTCTTTTCTTTGTAAATTACCCATGCTCAGGTAGTATCTTTATAATAGTGTAAAAATGTACTAATACACATGCATATCATGCTTTGGAAAGCAAACTGTAGAAATCACTTTTTTTTCTACCCCAGTGCCATAGAGTTAATTCCATTTTCATTTCAAGACTGACTCCAATAGACCTTTCCTGCATAGGGCCTACAAGCTTTCTCAGGCTCAATGTGTATCAGTTTGTGCTCTTTCATGGTTAAAATAAAAGCAAAATTATGTAGTAAGCAGTAAGTTCCTTCTCCTGTTGTGTTTAACATCTGTCACGGAGAAACAATGTATTGTGTGCTTTCTGTATATATATACTCTTTGTAAGGTAGAATTCCCTTCCCCCCCCTTACTTAAGGGAAGTTTTTCTAAGAGCACATCTTTTTAATGGTATTCTTTCCCCTTCTCAGTGAGGGACTATTGATTGAGTGGACACCGCTTACTGTAGCTGTTCTGAGCTGCCAGCAGCAGGGTTTCCTGTGATTGATTTTATATAGCACCTTTTCTACTTGAGAAATCCCAAAGCACTTAACAAAGCAGGGAGTGAGTTTGATGCTGATAGTGATGGCGTAGGCAAACACTGGCAGTGGCACGAACTGGCGGCCGCTCACATTGCTTCAGATTCTTGACTCCAGAGAGCCGGTGGCCAGGTTGCCACCGTTTTCTCTGATCTGCCTAGAATCTCCAGACTGGAAAGGACATCTAGCTATCCTTGAGGATATTCCTTGGCCTCAAGGATATCCTGACCAGCCCCTAAGCCACTCAAGATAGATGAGATTGATGATCACTGTGGGTGGCTTCAGAGGAGTCATTTACTCTTAAATTCTTTATTTCCTGATGGGTTCCATATGGTGGGTAGATTTGGTGTCCCATCCAGTCAGCAGTTCTAAAACTCTATTTCCTGATTTATTTTTATTTTTCAGAGACAGGATTTTGCTCTGTCACACAAGCTAGAGTGCAGTGGCAAGATCACAGCTCATTGTAGCCTCAAACTCCTGGACTCAATCCATCCTACTCCCTCAGCCCCCTGAGGAGCTAGGACTATAGGCATGTGCCCCCATACTTGGCTTATTTTTTACTTTTTGTAAAGACAGGATCTCACTCTGTTGACCAGGCTGGTCTCAAACTCCAGGCCTGAAGCAATCCTCCTGCCTTGGCCTCCCAAAGTGCTGGGATTACAGGTGTGAGCCACCACACCCAGCCAATTTCCAGGGTAATTTTTGAGTCTCAAGGAGGTGTAGTCTTAAAAGTAGATTGTGGCAGGCATCTGCTTTGGAGAGGGAAGACTCTTTAGATGACTTTAGTACTAGATTAGTACAAAAATTAGCAAGAGGGCATCTGCAGAAATGCATAATGTGTTTGCCCTCAGAAGGAGCATATGTTGCTTACTTCTTCGACAGCTAGCACAGTGCTTAGCATATAATAAACCCTCAGTAAATTTTTGATGAATAGATGTGTCAAAATTAAAAGTGTCTTTTCAGTGTCAGAGAAGGACAGATTTCAGTCCAGAATTAGGGGTGCTCAGGGACTAGCATTGTCTACTTTAGCAATAAGCATGCCAAATAAGCCATCCCTGTCCCCACAAAGGCAGCAAAAATGGGACACAAATAATGGTCTTTTTTCACTTGTCCTTTTCTACCTGGTTTTGATGCAAAAGTGAAGCTGCTTGTTTCACTTGCAGGTTGGGGTTTTTTATTTTTATTTAAATAAAAATAAAAGGAAAGAAGGAGAAAATTGGCAAGGTTAAAAGAATGAATTTTAAGCTCAGAAGTATGATCTATTAACCTCCAGTAAAAATGAATTAGAGGGAGGAGAAATGTGGAAAGACTCCCAGGAAGGGAGAAGAGAACTCACCTTTTTGAGCAGCTCTTGAAGCAATGGGGAACCTGTCATTGACGGAACAAAAGAAGGCCGTATGATTCTTCTTAGGATCTAGACTATCCTTGCCCTCATTTCATAGACATGAACAGTGTCTCTAGCAAGGAGCAGGAGGATGACTGGGGAGGAAGAGAAGGAGAAAGTTACACTGAGACCTCTGGGCCCATAGACACCCTTGTATCCTGTGGGAGGAGAGCAGTGGCAGCTGTGAGGTGACTCTAAAGGAAGAGTTTGCAGGTCACATCCTGTGGTTTCTTTCAGCTGAATTGATACCCAGTTGTCTAGTGTGTCATACATCTGATCACTCAGTCACCTTCTCAAAAGAGGTGAGGAATACCCAAATTAAAATGTCTATGTACGTTCATCTTCACCTGTGCTTTCTTTTCTTTATATATATGGACATAGCTTTTAAATTCTTTTTTTTTTTTTTTTTTTTTGAGATGGAGTCTCACTCTGTCATTCAGGCTGGAGTGCAATGGCACAATCTCAGCTCACTGCAACCTCTGTCTCCTGGATTCAAACCATTCTCCTGCCTCAGCCTCCTGAGTAGCTGGGATTACAGGTGCACACCATCACTCCTGGCTCATTTTTGTATTTTTAGTAGGGACAGGGTTTCACTATGTTGGTCAGGCTGGTCTCAAACTCCTGACCTCATGATCCGCCTGCCTCAGCCTCCCAAAGTTCTGGGATTACAGGGATGATTAAATTCATTTTCAAGTAAATAACTTACTTTTGTCTTATAGAGTGCATTGAACTATTGTCTCCTTTGCTCTTCAGATGGCCCCCAAAGGCCCACAGTAATTTTGTCCTCATTTACAGATGAAAGAACTGAGGCCCAGAGAGGATAAGTGACTTGCCCAAGGTCACACAGTGAGCTGGAATTCAAACACAGGTTACCACGGGCCATATCTCTCTCACTGTCCACTGCCTTGCTTTCTCCATCTCAAACAGAAGAAAATTATAAATCTTGCTTCAAAAGAGAAACTGTATTGTTATGACACTCCAGCATTTGAAGAAGTAAGTTGTGAATGTTTATAGCTTCCTTTTGTGCTCAGACCACACAGTCACAGCCAGCTGCTTACTACCCTAGGCTATCAGCTAAAATACTCGACTTTTTTTATTTCACTGCCTTCTTTTTAGGAACAGGAATAAACACCTGTGATTTTTGCCCATAAGGTTCATGGCTACATGTATTGACTCTACTTGGGGCGTCCTTGACACTTTAGTGACCCCATCTCTAGGACAAGAGGGCTGGGCTGGGCTGAACCAATTGCTCCAAGGCCCCTTTCAGCACTGACAGTCTGTGACAGCAAGTGGGTGAGAGTCCACTGACCTGCAGCTAAAGAACAGAGGCAAACTGGGGTGGGCACAGCTGGCGACTCAGTTCAGATCCATGCTAGCTTACTGGGAGCAGATGATGGCAGGCATTGGCTTTGAAGCTGGACACATGAACACACACAGGACATAGTTCTTGTCCTCCAGGGGTATGGAGTCTAGTGAAGCCTTCCCAAAGGAGCCTGCATGATTGGCAGTTACTGCTCACGTGTTTACCTTGTATTGGTGAATTTTGAGATGTGCTCCTTGCACCATATGAGTAATTAAAAATGTATCTACACCTGATTAATTCTTCCTTCTATCCATTGGGGGAAAAGCCATATTTAAATAGATGGACGGACATTGAGTGGGTGTCTCTGTGTACCAATAGGGTGAGCACGTTCTGCCCTTAAACAGATGCTAATTGCATCCTTGGGAAGATGCAATGGACAACTCTAGAGGCTGAAACCGTTCCGAAGCATACCTTGGAAATAGCACACAAGGAGAATAGGGCCTCTGGTGTTTCTGACTGACATGAGTGAGCTGAAGAAGAACCTGATTAAGGGAAGCAGGGCCTTTCTCCAGGGGTTTGGGGGAGCATGGATCACATGGCAGTTTTGTTTGGAAGAAAAGCCGGTCAAAGCCACAGGGAGTCCTTGCAAGGCCAAAGGAGAGAAAGTTGTTCCCTTGGAGAGAGTGGCATTTTGGAAAACTGAAAATCACTTCAGTAATATTGTATATGAGAATCTTTGTAACCAAAAAGAAATGCAATAAATCTCTCAGTTTGAAGGCTTCTTCAATATTTTACAAATCGCACAATCATCTCCAGCTTTTGGCACAAAGAAAAATCCACATGACAAACCTTACAGAACATTAGCGATATCAAGATAAGCTGCATCTGCAGAATACCAATGAAATTATCCCTACTTGCTGCTGGTATTTTCAAAAATGTGAGGCGGAGGGTCCATTTTTTTCCTGTTAAAAATGGAAATTGGTGTTTGAGTATTCCATGAAGTTCTTCAGGTTCATTAACAAGGTCAAAATCAATGTTATTTTACTGTTTGGAATCATTTTTGGTCGAACAATGAAAAGAAACCATAGTAGAAGTAGTCTTAATATAATCATTTTCTTTTCATTGTTCTTTATGGGAAAATAATTTGGCCCGAAATTTAGTGGTCCCATCAGGGAGGTGATATCTTTAAAAAGGTGGTCTGAAGGACAGGTTTTACTGTACTTTAATAGGCTTATAGATTAATATAAATCTTAATATTCATAATCTTTACCATTTCTTTTCTCAATATCTGCTCCATCTATACATCTATTTATAATGTATGTTTCAAACACAAGATATACTTGATTTTTATTAAATACACTGATGGTGCTACAGGGACAGCCACTTGACCTAGTTAAAAAAAGAAAAAAGAGCCAGGGGGTCAAATTTTTGGATAGTCTGCTGCTGAAAACAGATTTTTGCGGACAATACAATGGCCTGAGAGTAGGGCTGTCTTTGCAGATTTTCCATGCGCTGCTATTTGTGTATGGCCAGGTTAGTAAAATAAATATATGTATATTGGGTGCCAAGTGTGAGCTGCAGATGATCATGATGAAATGTGAACTTCTCACCTGACAGCTTGATCTTTCTCGTCAAAACGTGGAACATTCTCAACCTATATATGCTCACAAAAGAAAATCACAGTGATAACTACATAGGAAATTTACTTATTGGATAGAAAAGAAATGTGTAAATATGCAATGCTTGGCAAGAATAAAGAAATACATGCTAATTTATTTTAATATGGTTATTTAAGGGAAACATTATCTAAGTGACTTTGGTATTATTTTGATTCTGAGATTCCTTGTTTGCCTGTTATGTTATAAACTTTGAAGCTTATTATCTTATATAATAATATAAGCTTATTATATTATAAACATTGAAGAAATTAATGAATTCTAAATGTGTACAAAATTGATATATTAGGTAAAAATATGTACATAGGTATATATATATATATATCTCTTTTGCTGATTATAAAAGTAATACATCCTTATTATAGAAAATTTACAAAATATGAGGCAAAAACCATAATACCACCCAGAGATAATCACATTAACATTTTCTCACCTCTGTTTTGTTTTACAGAATCTAGAGGATCCTGTGTGTATAAAATTGAATATGGGTTTATTACATTTCATTGCAGGATCCTGGAACTTACTTCATGATTCCTATAATTGGGTGTTGGTATGGTTTCTTTTTTTTTTCCTATTGCAAATATAAAAGACAAACATCTTTTATATAAACCTTCGTTGGCATTTCACATAACTGACCCGGGAGCTAGTCCCAGAGATGGAGTTAATGAATTAAGTAGAGCAACATTTTTAAGGCTTTTGATACTTATTCCACAAAGCTTAGGCCAATTTATAGTGTAAGCTTATTTCAATCAGATTTCATGTACTTTGATGAAGAAAACACTGTTGTTTCAGGTTTCCAAAGCAGTGATCTCCTGTGGTTGGTAACGATGTTCTTTTGTGGTTGCCCTGAGGAAGATGCAAGAAAGGGCTGCAGAGGTCTATTTGTCTGATGTTAGGGAGTGCTAGTTCTTCTGGTTAACTCTCATAAAGGTTTTTTTCCCCTTCCTTCTTTTTTTAGACTATGTGGTCCTTGTAAATAGTGTTTGATGTTTTAAACATTAATATTAATTGAAAAAGGAGATAACTTAAATAATTGCCTATATATTTTCTTTACCTTTGTATATTTTGAGTAATAAGAAAAAATCCTGGAATTTATTACTAGAAAAATGGGACTATAAAAGTATTTATGCTCTTTTGCCCACTCGACTTCCAGCTTTACTGGCTTTAAATATTTTGGCCTCAGTACCTCAGTCTCCTAAGGTATTTGGCTGTGTGCAGAATGTCATATTCCTGTCCCCTCTGTTGATGAGGATGTGGCTTTGTGTCTGTGGATGCCTGTGGGCAGAGGCTGGACTCTCAGAAGGCAGAAAGCACTGGCTGCCTGCGTGGCTGCTCCTTCATGATCCCTGTGTCCTGTATGCCCTGGTTTCCTACCACCGGCTGTCTCGTGGCAATGTGTCTACTGTACTTGAAACTGTTTAAATACAGGGCATCATTTTAACACTGTCAGTTACTCCAGGACTCAACAGTATGGGTATGCATGCTTTGGACATAGTGGGAATTATGTAAAGGAAGGAAAGCAAGAAGGTAGAGTAGACACACAGCCCATTCACATTTAAATGCAAGGCCAAGGATTGGGGGTTATTTTCTGATGAATCTTTCAGTTTCTGCTACTGTGAAGCTATAACCATTCTAAGTGGCAGTGCAGGGATCTTTGCTTTCTGGCTTTCTAATCAGCAACTAAATCCTATTTCTGAAAAGCAAAAATAGATGTTGCAAACAGGTATCTTTCTTTGGGTTACTTGGTCACCTTTAGAATGCATTTTCACAGGAAGAAGGAGAGAATGAAAGTTCTTTTTTGTTTTGTTTTTTAGAAACAGGGTTTCACCATGTTGGCCAGTATAGGATGGTCTTGATCTCTTGACCTTGTGATCCGCCTGCCTCAGCCTCCCAAAGTGCTGGGATTACAGGCGTGAGCCACCATGCCTGGCCTGAGAATGAAAGTTCTTTTGCTGAAGAGGAGCTTCCTTCTCAGAACTTCTCAGACCATTGACCGTGACCTGCTAATGGCCAGTCCTGGCTCCTTTTCCAAATGCTGAGAAAAGCCTGAGAACATAGGTCTGAGGACAGGCACTGAAGGAAGCAAACCCACCTTCAGTGAGGCTTGCTTTTGTCCAGACACTGCCTATACAGTACATTAGTAAACTTATTTTATTCAAAATAGATCCTCTCACTATATTTCAAAGTGGTTTACAATTCTGTATAAAATAGAAGATCTTTACTAGGGGATGGTGGAATATAAACAGTAGAAACACAAATATTAATACTACCCTCACAATGCATGTTTTACAAAAGACATTTGCTAAGTTTTGTTATGTATAAAAATATATTTAGCTACCAACTTCACTGTCATTGTGGAAAATTGCACAAACCAATATATGTAAGTGAATAATTTTACATATAGTGTCTTTTCTGATTAAGAAAGTCTTTTAAAGAACATATTAATTATGCATCTTATGTATCCTATGTGGCTAAAGCAGCTCTGTGAATAGAGACCTGTCAGTATTTGTTTTTGTGTGTGTGTGTTTTTTTTTTTTTTGAGAAGAACAGAATATCTGTCACCCAGGCTGGAGTGCAGTGGCATGATCTCGGCTCATTGCAACCTCCGCCTCCCAGGTTCAAGCAATTCTCTGCCTCAGCCTCCCGAGTAGCTGAAATTACAGGTGCCCACCACCACGCCCAGCTAATTTTTTGTACTTTTAATAGAGAGGGGGTTTCACCATCTTGGCCAGGTTGGTCTTGAACTCCTGACCCCCTTGTGATCCACCCGCCTCAGCCTCCCAAAGTGCTGGAATTACAGGCGTGAGCCACCATGCCCAGCCTACTTGTTTGGTTAAAATAACAGAGTGCAGCTGTGATTTATTTTTAAAAAGCCTATCTGGAAGTGCTATTTTTATTTTTAAAAGGTAGTGGACAGGGGCAATCAGAGTTAATGGTTTAGTTTGCAAATATAATAGTTTTGAGGAAGAATGTCAGGCAAATATGTGGGCCACAATGGAGTGAAAGTCATGTATTTGCTAACTTGTTTCCAGACTAGGACTTTCCATGTGACTGGCAGACATGTGTGGGAAAGTCACCCTGGAAACCAAAGAGGGGAGAATGCATACCAAAAGAGAATCTGGTTTTTTACCTGGTAGTTGTAAATGGGAACAATTACGATGCCAAACGTCAACTTAGGTTTGAAAACCCCCATTAACACCACTCTCCATAGATAAAAATGTACATTTGAAGGAATAGTTTTACAATCGAACTAGAGATTGTCCTTGCCGCTCGAAAACAAAATGGAATGTTATCTGGCCAAGAAAAAACAGTCTTTGAAAGTGTTTCCCTGAATCGGGTTGACTTTCCAGTGTCTCAGCCGGCAAGTCCCGGCAGCGTTCGCAGCTTTGTGGTCTCCTTGGGGCCTCCGGGGTGGCTTTGAATGGGACAGCTTCACAAAATCTGCATGAAAATTGGGAATTGTCAAAGTAATTTGCCATTTACTGACTGGCTGTCTATGCCTTTTGTGTTTTGATCAATAAAAACTTAAATCCTTTACCGAGTTTAGTAACAACCTATTCTAAAGCATTACATTCCCTCTAATGTTTTTCGAGTTCTGGTTGTACAGTTATCCATTTTCAATGATATTCATTTTAAAAGGTTATCAAACGAGAAACTAAACCAACCATACAAATAACAGCCCAAAGAACACTTTCCAAAATGTGTTGCTGTAGTGCCATTTCAAATTTAATATTCATGCAGAGGAAAGCTAAAGGCCACCAAACCAGGTGGATAAAATAGTACTGCGTTTTATGACTCATTCTTAAATGAAATCTCTTAAATATTGCTAATGAAGCCGGCTCCCCCCACCCCCACAGCCTTGGCGGGCGCCCTTTCGAGCTGCTTCAGTTCCATTTCTCTGTCTAGCAATTTGCCCCAGGCCCCTATTAAATGAATTATCACAGCCCCTAAATCATCTCTGCGGGGTTTCCGCTAATCCCATCAAGACACTTACACTCCCTTTCTTCCCTTCTGGTGACATAATGAATGATTATTTCTTGGGGAGCCGTTAAAGAGGCCCCTCTGGAAGAGGAGAATGCTTGCGGCCTGTGGCGGAGGCGCGGGGCTGGGCCGCGGGGAGGCCGGGTGGGCACCAGCGCCGCCTCGGGCTGACGGGGACAAAGAGGCCACGCGGCCACCAACTGCCCTCCTGGCCGCCCGAGGTGGGGGCCCCCGCGAGCGGCGGGCCGAGAGCCTCCCCCCGCAGGCCTCCAAGTGCGCCCGGCCTGGGTAGCGACTCCTGAAGCCCAGGAATGCAGGGCAAGGAGAGAGAATATAAATGTTTTCCTTAACCAGAGGAAACACCGCACTCACAAACCACTTGCGGAATAGATTAAGCTAATTTATTAAACACAGTTTGCCTGGTGACTGAGCTGAGCTGAGTAATGATTTACAATTTAAAAAAAAACATTAATAAGAGAAAGTCAGGGGCCACAGTGGCCCTAATCATCGGGCCATGGCAGCTCCGACGGGGCTGGGGCGCGCGTCCCGGCGCTGGGTCTGGGACCAAGGGTGGCCTTAGGCCTGCGGCTTAGGGGAAGCTTCGCAGCGGTTGCGGAGCCCAGTCCCCCAGCTCCGGGGAGGTGGCGTCCAGGAGAAGAGAGCTGGGCCCTGGGCAGGGAGCCACCTTCAGGGAGTCGGGCAGAGGGACCCTCTTCCCAGAGGACGGAGTGGTTTAGGGTGTGTGTGTGTGTGTGTGTGTGTGTGTGTTACACGTTTCTGAGGCGCTCACACCTCCGCTCGCATACCAGTGCTGGGTCTTCTGACAGTGAAGTAACATAAAACAGTTTCCAGGAAATTTTGGAAACTAAACACGGGGATACGTTTGTCTTGCGCAGTGATTCTCAACAGCATTGCTCCCAGCAACCCTCTTTTCATAATATATACTTCCTAATGCCCCTCGCGGTGGCTTGCGCCTATAATCCCAGCACTTTGGAAGGCTAAGGTGGGAGGATCGCTTGAGCCCAAGGGTTCGAGACCATCCTGGACAACACAGTGAGACTTCCGTCTCTACCCAAAAACACAGAAAATAGCTGGGCATGGTGGCACATGCCTGTAGTCCCCACTACTCAGGAGGCTGAGGCAGGAGGATCACTTGAGTCTGGGAGGTCGGGGCTGCGGCAAGATGTGATTGTACCATTGCACTCCAGCTTGAGCAACAGAGTGAGATAATGTCTCAAAAAAAAAAAGTTGTAATATCTTTTACTATTCAAAAACAATTGAATTATATATCCTATACATGATTTTTAAAAAGTGAAGATGGAAGGAAGAAAAGAAAGAAAGGCAAAACATGAGGGTCTAACTATAAAAGAAATAACAACACATCGGGTATAACAAAAATATAGTAAAATATGTGTTTCAATGGGTACATTCTCTGCCACAACAACTAAGGAATGAAGTAGTCAAAATAATAATCTCACGCTTTGTTTTTGGAGATAGGCTCTCACTCTATTGCCCAGGCTGGAGTGCAGTGGCACCATCTTGCCTCACCGCAGCCTCAATCTCTGTGGGCTCAAGTGATCCACCCACCTGAGCCTCCTGAATAGCTGGGACTATAGGCATGTGCCACCATGCCCAGCTAATTTTTGTAGTTTTTTGTAAAGATAGGGTTTTACCATGTTGCCCAGGCTGATTTTGAACTCCTGAGCTCAAGTGATCTTCCTGTCTCAGCCTCCCAAAGTGCTAGGATTACAAGTGAGCGCATCACTTGGTAACAGATGTTGATTTAAGAGAAAGCTGTCAGTTGATTGTTGCTGTCTCTTTTTCTTTATAATCAACTTTATGAAATAAGGGCTAAATAAGGATATTAACTTGTATATGTAGAATCATCCAAATGTGACAGCTATGGATGGGAGAACTTAAAGCCCGAGAGCTACATTGCATTGTTGTCCATACATGATTTTCCAAAATGGTGAGCAACTCTTGGACGGGTTCCAGATAAAACTGTGTACATGGTAGTTGTATTCCTGGAAAATTTAATGTACATTAAAACTAGGTAAAAACACTTTGTGCTCATAAAAAAAATGGAGCTAGAAACAATTATCGAAGGCTTTTTCACCTACTTGAATATCTGATGGAACATTGGGATGTATCCCAAAGGACCTGGAACAATTGTTCCAATGCACTGCCTTTTGGGGTGGACACTATCCCCTTTGAAACTCACTGGTCTAGAACATTGGTTTCTAAATTCTTTGAATTAGTATTTCATGGAGAGCAGAACATTTTACATATGACATTAGAGGGTTTGCAGGCCTCTCGAAACCCATCCGCAGACCGTCTACCACATCCACGTATTCTGATTTCTGAACTCTTGGTCTACAGCAGAAATTGAGAGGCTAGAATCATAGAATAGGAAAGAGACTTATGTGAATCCTCTGAGGAAAATCAGCTCATCCAAGGTCTGAAGATCATATTCAAGTTTTGAGTTTATTTAGTTATTGCAGGAAATTAGTCACCTTCCTGGTTCTGGAAGCAGAAACTAAATTACGTTAGTCTTTAAGGCAACTCTAACACACTGTTTACTTCTACTCAACTTGTGATCAATAAAAACCCTAAATCTATTCTACTTGTTCTGGCTAAAATGTTGGACCTATGTATTTAGGCAGATAGTTTTTTTGTATTGAAGTGGAGGGCTTTATATTAATACCTGTTAAATGCCTTCTTGTTGAACATACTCTTTATTCTGGTCTTGTCTAGATGTTTTTAGATACCAATTTTGTCTTTGAATTCATAAACTTTCCTTTCTAGCTCTCTGCCACCTGCATGTCAAAATGTTAGAATTAATTATTATAAAAAGGAAACTGAGAAAGAGGCCTCTTTGCCAATGCCGTATCACTAGTAATAATAGGAAGATGTTAGCTTTTTCTAGTGTATGCAGGAAAAGTCCCGTTGGTTAAGTGTATATATCATTGCCTATTTAGAGCTGAAAAAATAAGGCAGTGTGCATTATAATGGTGCTTTTATGTTGTCAGAAAAGTTTAATTTTTATTTAATTAAATTCATTAATTAATTTTGAGATGGAGTCTTGCTCTGTTGCTAAGGCTGGAATGCAGTGGTGTGATCTCTGCTAACTACAAGCTTTGTTACCTGGCTTGAAGTGATTCTCCTGCATCAGCTTCCCAAGTAGCTGGGATGCAAGCATGCGCCACCATGCCTGGCTCATTTTTGTATTTTTTGGTAGAGACAGAGTTTCATCATGTTGGCCACACTGGTCTTGAACTCCTGACCTCAAGTGATCCACCGGCCTGGGTCTCCCAAAGTGCTGGGATTACAGGGGCAAACCACAAAGCCCAGTCTGATTTTAATTTTAAAAGTCTTTTAGAAGAGGGCTGTTCCCCACTCTCAATGTTGGTATTTTTTCAATTCTAAAAATGATATTGTACCAAATTTAAATATGTTTTATAAGAAGTTTCCCACAACCCTGCCATTCTAACCTGTTTTGATTTTTCCATTTTTCTATGTTTGTCTTGCCATGGCTTCTAGTTTTTGTTTAGGCTTTTATGTATTGCATGCCCAATTTTCTACATCTGTTTCTAGTTCCCTGTTAGAAATGGGTGTTAGCTGGGATTACTATTAACCACGAGCAATTGAACTAAAACAAGCAACAGTAGGTCTTCCATGCAGCTTTGCCTAAGTGGGCTGACAGGTGGGCTGAAATATTTGTAGGCCTTACAGAGAGTTATCACTATAGAGAGGAGGTAGAACTGCCGTGTGAACTTAGCAGCTCACTTTTTAAAGAATCACCAAACATTTACATAAGTCAGAAGTGTACGGAGGGTGTGGAGGCAACGGGGTCTTGAGCTGCTGATTTAAAAAGCCCAGAAGTTGCGATTTGGAACATTTTGTTTTAGGGAGCCCAGTCCAAAGTCTGTGTTCAGTTCTGCTTAAGAACAGGGTGAGGGGATAGGAAAGGGTGGTAGAGAGGGCGTTTTGATTCATTTTTGGCTTGGAAGGGTGCTGGGACAGTTGGGGCATTAGAAGCCCTTTATAGGCCGGACATGGTGGCTCATTCCTGTTACCCCAGTACTTTGGGAGGCCAAGGTGGGCAGATTACCTGAGGTCAGGAGCTCGAGACCAGACTGGCCAACATGGAGAAATCTTGTCTCTACTAAAAAAAAAAAGAAAATACAAAAATTAGGCATGGTGGCGTGTGCCTATCAACCCAGCTACTAGGGAGGCTGAGGCAGGAGAATCACTTGAACTCATGAGGCAGAGGTTGTAGTGAGCCGAGATCACGTCATTGCACTGCAGCCCGGGCAACAGAGTGAAACTCTGTCTCAAAAACAATAAAATAAAATAAGCCCTCTACTTCTGTTATGTTCATCTCTCCATGGTGTTGCCATCTCTGGATAAGATGGAACTTTCTTCAGAACCCAGGTGGGTGGCTACAGCCTAGAGATGCTTGTCCACAGTCCAACTAAGTCTAAACTAAAGTTTCATTTACAATTTACACCTGCTTTTCTATCCTCTTATGCTGAGTATTTTGTAGAACATCTTCACTGTCAATACCTTTATCTCTTAGAAAATTGATAATAATCGTAGCTATCATTTATTGGGCATCTAGTATACACCAGGCAGTGTATACTTATATTGTTATGCTTCACAATACCATGAGATAGGAGTCATTATGTCATTTTCACAGTCCAAGTTCATGTTACTGTATAACATTCTGTGTCTGTTTAAGAATATATAAATTTGAGTGATATAAAATAACATTTCATGGCCGGGTGCAATTATACCTGTAATCCTAGCACTTTGGATAGCTGAGGAAGGCAGATCACTTGAGGTCAGGAGTTTGAGACCAACCTGGCCAACATAATGAAACCCCATCTCTACTAAAAATGCAAAAGAACTAGCTGGGCGTGGTGGTGGGAGCTGTACTCCCAGCTACTCAGGATGTTGACACAGGAGAATTGCTGGAACCCAGGAAGTGGAGGCTGCAGTGAGCCAAGATCGCACCAGTGCACTCCAGCCTAGGTGACAGCATGAGACTCTGTCTAAAAAATAAAAACAAAAAATAAGGACAAAGTACTATGACATCACAATATTCCAAGGCTTTTCTCTCGTTTGGAAGGTAAACAGAGAGACTTGGGGCTTTTCCAAAGCTGGAAGTATGGTGTGACTGCTCTCACTGAC